CAAACACTGAAAGGGTGGCAGAAAACGGAGAGGGGGGGGGGGGTGTTTAACAACATGTGCCCTGGTTATGGCGTTCTTATTGTCTACAATAAGTCAAGGGAAAGAACTCATAATTCTATAAGACATACTGCTCAGTACTGGAGCTGAATGAATGAAATAATTGTTGCTGTGGGAATGAGATTTGCATCTTTTAAATATTCTTTAGGAAATATTTCAGTGGTGCGTCAATAATAGCAGTGTTATGTTATACTCCATAAGTAACTTCTATTTTATTGCAAGCTCTTTCCATTTACATATTAGGAAGTTATATATCTACGGAGTAATTTATCTGTAACTAATGTCTTTTCAAGGGCAACAGTAACAATACCAAAATTATAATAACATTCAATAATAATACACATTTTACCACTTGTAGTATAAGTATCTTATTTAGTACTCCTACTATTATTATTTTCTTCTGTTAATACTTATACCACAACTATTATTACTAGTATTATACATTATTATTATTATACAGGATTTATATAGCACCAACAGTTTGCACAGCACATTACAATATAAGTTACATTACAGTTACAACACAAATCAAGATAAGATGGTAACGAGGGCCCTGCCCGTGAGAGCTTATAATCTAAATATCTTACTACTACTTCATATAATAACAATATTACCAAAAAAGGCTCAATTGACAACGTAAACACACCAGGTTTTTTTTTTTAAACAGTGACAGTTATTTTCAGCATAGTGCAATGAGATATGCAAATGACACATGGTTAAAACATGTCCTTATCCTTGTATTAAAGCTTTGTGACTTGAGTCTGTCTCTAATTTTTAGTGTTTTTTTTTTAATATAGCATATTTATACACATATATAATTAAGAATGATACATAAGGCCAGATATAAGTGACAGTGAGGCAATGAGTAGATATCATTTATTTACGCTGAAGGAAAGATAAATAAATGTTAACTATTATTTTCTAGCAAACGTTACAAAAAATGAAAACTGAAATTTGTCTGGCTGTCCTCTGCAGCATCACCCATGTTTCTTACCCAAGTGTTTGTAGATCAGTTTTATTTTATGCTGTATACATTTAAGCAGACCTTCACTCTCCCTTATTTAAATCCTCCCCCCCTCCTTTCACAGAGTCCCAAACAAAAAAAAATTGTTGATTTATGCATGCAGCGCCCCCAGATTTCTTTCCATATTTCTTGCCTAGTCAAGAATGGCATAGCCCCCAGACTCCTGCAGGCTTTCTGCAGCCTCCTAGGATACTCACATCATGCATGTCAGGAAGCTTGCAAACAATCATATGAAAATGCGCATGTGCCATGGCATGTCATCAGGGGGCTGGCATCTGGGTTTTGCAGCCTCCACTTAAGATGACGTGCCACCTAATGATGTCAGAGAGGAAGATGGTAGAGTGGCATCTTGTGTGCAGCAGAAAAGTGGTGGATCACTAGATTACACCGCTGGATTTGCTGGGTGTGTGAGTTTGTTTATTGAGTATAAACCAGCAAGCCAGATGAGAGGGGGTTAAAAAAATGGGAGGGTGAAGTTCCTCTTTGAATATAAACAATAACCAACTTTTTTTATAGCAAAAATAACAATAATATAAGAAAAAAAGATAGCTAGTTTCATTCTTCTATCGATATTTCCATCTGGATTGTGGAAATTTGTAAATTATTCTCTTCTGCTAATGAAGGTAGATAGCAACCCCAGAGAATCATGAGCAAGATAATCATGAGGAGAGAAATTAGGTTCAGTAATTGTCAATGACCTGAATGAAGCAGTCTCACTAGGTAACTGCATCAACTTTAAAGGCTTTTTATAGATAATAGCGATTCTTATCTGTCTTTCTTTTCCCTTATGGCGTCCACCGATATTCTTTATCTCAGAAGAACATGGCATGCCATATTGCTAATAAAGTATATAAGAGAAAGTGCAGTTCTAATTAACAATGGGGATAAGTAACTTGTTTGAAACAGTGTCTTCTTGGAACAATGTTACTGAAGGGCCTAAAGGTACTCACATATCTGATTAGGAAGCATAAAAAAGGAAAAGCTGTAAGAAAATGTGTAATTTTTCCCTCTCTTTTGCCCTCTGCAAATCTGCACCAATTTGTAATCCCAGCTCTGGCCGTGCCTCCCTACTCATGCTGACCGACTGCAGATTTTCCAGACCTGTCCCTGTTTAGTAGGTTTACGGCATTTTCCATGTTTGGCCATCTGGTCATACAGAACGCCTTGTCAAATAACTCCAATATACAGAAGAGGCTGACATAGCT